TTTTTTATATTAACAGGATTATATGAGAATTTATTAGTTTTACAGTACTTTTACGTAAATGGTTTTGTATTATTTTTGTAAAATGAACGACATTCTCAAATTTTATTGCACTTTAATCTTTTCTTTTATTGTTATTTTCTCTAGATGTGAATGCAGGCCATATACAATGGCTATATTATGAGCGACAAGTTTCGCCCAGTTCATACTAAGGTTCTAATTTCAGATGCATATAAGCTTCTGCTTGGCAAGGCGTGCAGGTGGCGCAGCGGTTGGCGCGCACGACCCATGTACGGAGGCCTTAGTCTATTCCTCTCTCATACCTACTTTCCTGTCAGGCTACTGTCGAACAAAATGAGCCACTAGTGCCGCAAAATTTTAACAAAAAAAGCTTCTGCTTGGTAAGGAAGAAATTGGAAAACAACATCCATCTCAAAGTTCCCAAATAGCTGGCAGAGGGGAGGCCTCTAAACAAAACCATAAGTTATTTATTTCTGTATGAGATTTGGTCAAGACACTGACTTTTAGGCGATCAAAACATGGGACATATGACTGGTAATTTCATAGCTAATGAGAAAGACCAGATGTCCTAATTTGTGCGTCCCTCATTTCTTCTCTTCAATCCCGTCGTCCCACAAACCAGTGTCCTGCATCTGACCGGGTCAAGCAGGTACAACATAAGGTAAGTTAAATTCAAAACTTTTTAATGCCTTGTGAAATAAAAAGTAAAGACCAACTTCACAATAAACAAGAAAAACTGTGTTGCGACATATTTACCCAAATGTTTATTTTAACTTTAAAGGGATAGTTCGGGATTTTTGACATGAATCTGTATGGCATCCCCATCACCAGTGGCATGCAATCACACTGACCTACCCCTGGCAGCGTCCTGTGAGCAGAGTTATCGTCCGGTTTTGGTCAAGCCGAAAGTAGTCCGGCAGGTTTGCTAGACCCAGCGAAATAAAACGTTTCTCTTCCCAAAACATTATGTGTTGAAAAGAGTGATATTTTTGCATCCCAAAAACATTGTAGTGGAAAAAGTCACACGTCGTTATCA